TAACATATTTATAAGAGAATGCCCTTTGACCTAATTCGGCCCATCATAGAATTAGGACTTGGGCCCGGTCTCTACATATATTTAAACCCATACTTTAATTGGATACATTAAAGCCCAAAATCGAAACTTTATTAGATCACTTTAATCGGGCTCGACCGAATTCGATAGCCTATAATTTAACACACAATTATTTACACATACAAGCCCATCTTTAATTAAAAATTCTTACATCAATATCATGTAATAATTTCTTATATAGTTATAAACTTACTAAACAATAATTTATTTTTGGAGATTGCTATTCGTTATAATTTTATGGTGTTGCAATTCTGATGTGGAAAAATAAATTTATATATATATATATATATATATATATATCTTCTTTTTTTTTTTTCAATTAGTGTTGAATCATATTATTTCTTTGATCTTATTATGTAATTGGATTGCCGAAAAGGAAAATAAATGTACGTTGTTGGAATTAGTGCTCCAGAGGTTCTCTCTAAAAGTCAAATTAACTCGCTTATCTCCTTATTATAGGTGTGCATTTAATGTGCAAATTTCTAGAATTCCTCTCCGTCAAATTTTGTAGTTTTACATCTACTGGGTTTTCTTCCTTGATATTTGGTTCACAGCTCACTATTTTTTTTAATGATTTATGTTCACGAAATATTTTCTTTTGATTTTAAACTACCTCAAGTGTACAATTCGTTAACAAGTAATAAAGTGGATTCAATCAGTCCGACTATCGTCCCACAAAGATTGATTAGTTCAAATTTTATCTAACGTAGCCTTAACCGAAATTGGATTGTCAAAGTGGATGTGGATCTAATTAAACCCTAATTTCACAAGGAAACCCTAATTACGTAAATTTAATGAGTAAATTGAAATTAAAACTCAAAACAATATTTTAACACTCTAGAGTAAGACTAAATGTTGAGAATGCACGTTGTTATAATCAATTGAATTTAAACATACCAGGATCACGATTTCCCATGCAATAATCACTTTAAACCCTAGTTTTACAATATGACAACACACTACAATTATGACGAATCAATGTTCCTAAGTCTATCCAATACTCTCTCTCGAGATATATCAAACCTATTTCTACATACTACCAGTCTATATTTCTATGACAAGAGCAGATGTAAAAATGCATGCGGCTTTATGAATACTTAAAGATTCACGTAGGGTATAGCGGTTTATTTCTATCCCCTATTGGACCCTATGATGATTTATAATATGTCAAATCTATTCCAATTCTCTCAAATGCAAGAATAAATCACTTAAATTCACACAATTACGAGCCCTTAATTGCGGAAACATTAAATTGCATATAAATCATTCAAAACAATAAAAATGTGTCATAATATCAAATTGCAAAACTAGGATATTAAAATTCAAATTACATGGTTCATCAATCTCCTAGCATAATAAAAATCTAGCCTAACATGATTAAAATAACAAACTACATCATGTTTTGAGTAATAAGCATCACCGGATTAACAAAACTTGAAGAAATCTTGAAATTCCAATAGCCAATCTTCGTTCTTGCGCTCCAAATCTTCTTCAAGATATGTTTTACTGCCTCCCAGTGCGTTTTGGTCGTCTCTAGACTGTTTTCGATATTTATATCCCGTGAATATTAGGTTACCAAATTCCCTGCATCTATTCGTGCGGCAGCACGAGAGTTCTACCATGCGACCGCATGGTAGACTTCAACTTCCAAAAACTTCAATTTAGTCCCTTTACTTGAATCTTTCACTTCTAGGCCTCTTTTCTTCACTCTTTCCATTCCATCATCCCAAGGCATCATCAATTAGCATTTAGTTCAACCAATTCCTTGATTTGTTCATCGGGTCAACTTTTGGGTAATTGCACCTTGGTCCTTGAACTTTCACTCTATGTCATTTTAGCCCTTTTTCGCATCTTTTCTCATGTATTTAACCATGTTTATCGGTGTTCCCTACAATTCACAAATGTAACGAAATTAAGTCACAATTCAATCATTTTACTTGTAATTAAGTCATGTTTGTGACCTAAATAAGTGTGCAAAAACACACTTATCAATTTACACAATTACTTGTAAACTTACTAGAGGATCTATTTAATTGATGAAGTTAATATTATGTAATGATCTCATTAGCTTACTAGTGTCGAATCATACAATTTTGTTTATCCTTTTGATGTCATTGGAATGTCGAAAAGAGAAAAATTAATGTAAATTTCCTGAGTTAGCGTCCTCGATGAGTAATGATGTATATTACATAAGATGAGAGTTGACTACCCAACATTGTACGTATATAAATGGGGCCTTAATATTAATATTTGTCATTAAAACACTAGTGACAAATACAAAGTAGAATAATAGCAAAGAATTCAAAGAAAGATTTATGTGCTTCAACAAAAAAACTTAGCATCTAAGCAAATTCTTTTTTGAAAGTTCCTTGTGGAATTTAATGAATTTTGATTGAAAAGAACGGTGTTGTTAATTAAAAAAAATTAATGTACAAATTCTTATGAACCTCATCGGGTTTCATAGTTTACATCACTTGGAGATTTCTCCCTCGATATTTTTAAACAGCTAGTAGCTATTTTTTGTTGATTCACAAATCACAGTTTCTTACAAACTTAATGGAGAGTAAATATAATTGTTGAAGTTAATACCATGTAAGGCCTGCTACATTTTCCTAACTCCAATCACTTCCCTGTTATGAAAAAAATAGTTTTCTTTGTATTCATAGAAGATTTAGTGCAAGAAGTATGGCAATTTTACATTCTGAACCATGGCTATTGTACATTCTGAACTATGTATAATTGGAGAATAATAGTATTCAAAATGATAAGGACATGCAAGTCAAAATGAACCTCAAATGTATTCATAGAAGATTGCAATTTTGCAATAAATTTTGGGTATGAATTTCTTTAGACATATTGATACTACTAGAAGGATTGAGTTTTACCAGTGTACTTTAGACATTTTGATACTAGTAGAAGGATTGAATTTTACCAGTGTACATGTTTATTCATACTCTAGATCAATGCGTGCATGAGTAGGCACAGAATCTAGTTTCCTATGGCTTTTTGATTTGAAAACATCTTACAGTTTAGATTATATAGATGTTTTATTATTGGAAAAACTATATACATGACTAGTCTTATATATATCAATCAGAAATGAAAGGGACGCATAGAAGACATACCTTGAATTCTTTGCAACGACTCATCATTTTTTTCTTGTAGATGCTATCATTGGTTCTAAGTTCCTCTAAACAACCTACTAATTTTACTTGTCTCAGCAGTTTTTCATTGCTAAGTTTTATCTACAAACAATTCTTAATTGGAGATCAAATCATACAATGTAATTAAGTTTCGTGAATTTGTGCTACGGTGTTTTGCAAATTTTGCAGATCTCTCGGTTTAACTCTTCCAAAGTAGGAAATATTGTCCAGGCATTCATTTTGAGGCCCAAATGGTCTTTTCATGTATTGGTCCAGGTAAACCCATTTGATTTCATATAGTCCCTTATTCCTGTCTTCTCTAGTCCACCCCGAAGCCACTGCTCAAGCAAGCATTGAAAATGTCCTTCCAGAGTCGGGGAATGAGTTGAAGACGATATGCAGACAAAGCCTGTTGTAAAGATCCCGAAACAAAAGAAGCAAAGAGGGGAAATTTTGAATTGATTCTTATCAATGAAAGACAATGGTGAATGGATGGGGCCAAGAGCTGAGATAAAGGTAAAAAGAATGGACCTTCATTTCTTAATTTGCTAGATCTTTTCCTTTAATGAAAGTTGCTTCATTCTGCTGCCTTTATCTTCAAATAATTAATTAATTTTCTTGTACCCACATTAAGTATCCAACCGATACTGTTGTCAGTTTATCTGAAAATTCAAGGCAAGATCCTGCCAAGACTAAATAATTGATGTCTGTGCGTGCCTGTGTTTATGTGTATTTTCTTTTCTTTTCATTTTTTCTTCTTACTTGGTATGGGAGTGTCTGTTGAGTAGTAAACTTGATTTTTGGACTAAATAATATGGGCTTAAGGATTTTGCTTATAGGCCCAAATCAATTAAAAGGCCCAACATGCATAGCATTTCTAGAAGCATTATTTAGAAAAATCTATATAAATATCTACTAGAAATATCTATATAAATATCTAAGTAAGATATGTAGTTTTATAAAGAATATCTAGAGAATTCTAGAAAAATATCTTGATATGTGGTCTAGGTGTCTCTAGAAAATGTGTGGACTAGAATCTTCTTGTAAACACTATATAAAGGGGTAGTGCCCTCCATTTTGTAACAAGCCAAAAAGTGTGTAAAGTCTTGAATTTGAGAAATACAAGTTTCTTTTTTTCACTTCCTTCTTCCTATTAGTGTTGTCCTCTTAAAAGCCTTAGCTAATCCAAGTTAGTAAACCCATCTTTCCTCCAACAGTGTCTAAGTTAATGAAATCTTAGTCTAAAAAGTAATAAGGTTAGAGTTTCAGTTTGGTAAGTCTTATAGATTTAAAAATTTTCTGTTGGTATAATATATCTACAGAAACACGAGCTTAAACATAAGTATACATAACGTTAATTGCTTTTAGCATTTCAAAATTGTGTCACTATGTTTATAACCTCAATCAGATTGGACAATACGAGCAGGTGGCTGTAAAAGATAGCATTACAATAATGGTAGACTCAACCATGGAGTGCTTTCTATCTGTGTTTAATGATAGATGGCTACATCCTACCGTAGGTGAGGAGTGTTGTCCTTCACTCAAGACTGAACTGGAGAATGACAATTCCCAGATGGTTAACATCAGACAACCTTCACAATTCTCAGTTATGTGCGATATTGGGGTGTCACACAGGATGCGATAAGTAATTGTGAATTGTGAATCAATAAACAATAGTTCTTAGCAGTGTAAAAAATACCCAAGGAGAAATAAGTTGGAAAGGTCAAATGTAAAATGATGAAACCCCACTTAGTTGTGTTATAACACTTCGCAAGTATATGGCACGCCAGTAAGAATGAGATAATCATGTTATTTGAATTTAAAGAGAACCTTTGGAATAATTTCATAAGCTATGATTACCGATAATATTTGAATCCTATTTATATATCTACAATGTCGAGCACTAAACCATCGTTATTTGAAATGTACATCATTGCCCATCGGCAACACTAATTCAAGCATTTCACATTAATTTTCTCCTTCTCAACATTCCAATGACGTAAAATGACATCTAAAAAGATATGATACAACACTAATTCAAATACTGTACATTTATTTATTTTCCTTTTTTGAATTTCAATGGCATAAAAGAATAAATGAAATAATATGATTTAACACTAATTTAAATAATCAATCTTAATATATTTTTCTACTTAAAAGTTACAACAGCATTAAATTATAAATGAAAATACTATTAAGCTCTAATTCAAACAATATTCATTGTTTCTCCTTTTCAACATTCCAACGACATAAAACTATAAATTAAGTAATTCGGAATCCCTGTGTTATGAACTATGCAAACTTGGGGATGATAATTTTCATTAAATCATGGCCATTGCACAAGTATATGTTGTAAAAGATTGCAGTTAGGTAATAATTTTCGGTATGAATTTCCATAGTCATAATTATACTACTAGAATAATTGAGTTTTTCTATTGTATATGTTTCTTCACACTTTAGATAAATGCGTGCGTGATGAGTGCACTCACAAGTTAGTACAAAATCTAGTGACCTATGGTTTTTTGATTTAAAAACATCTAGCAATATAGATTTTTTAGATGTGTCGCTTATTGTAAAAAATATATACATGAATAGTCTTATATCAATTAGAAACAAAAGAGACAAATGAAGGACATGCCTTGATTTCTTTGCAGCGATTCCGGTTCTTATTTACCAAATATTTTGATGATAACTTCTCAATTTTCTACCCAAGTTTGTCCTGTTGCTACATAATTTTAATTTTTTAAAGGAAGCTGGCATTCACATGAGTTGTGCATGTAGATGCTATCATCTGTTAAGTTCATCTAAGCAATCTACTATTTTCAATTGTCTATGCAGTTTTTGATTGCTAAGTTTATTTGCTAAAAATTTCTCAATGGGAAGTCAAATCATATAATTTTATTAAAGTTTCATAAAGTCGTTCTTTAATGCATTCAAAATTTTGCAGATCTCTCAGTTCAGACATTCATTTTTATGCCCAAATGGCCTTCATGGTGAATGGATGGGACCAAGAGCTGAAATGAAGAAAAACAGAATGGACCGTCATTTCTTAATTTGCTTGATCTTTTCCTTTAATGAAAGTTGCTTCATTCTTCTGCCTTTATCTTCAAATTATTAATTAATTTTCTAGCACCCATGTTAAATATCCAACCGGTAATATTGTCAGTTTGACTGAAAATTCACGGCAAGACCCTGTCAAGAGTAAATAATTGCTGCGTTCATACGTGCACTTTTTTTTGTGGGGATGAGAGTTTATAAGCTAGTCATTTCTATCTTCCTATCCTACATGTGTAAAAAAGCGAATGGTTTCCAGGACACGTGTTGCGATTTCTTATCGTCACTCGACCATCAGCTCAAACATCTATTCATCCCACTCTACAATCCCATACCTCTAAAATCTGATCAAATCTTGACCCCAAAGCTCATCTGCACACACATCCATACATTCATCCAATTTCGTCCAAAATCGCAATACCCATGACCAAACTCCATCACAGACATTTATAAAATCGAAGACGAGCAGTTATATGGTAACATATCATCAGGAAACATTTTAAATCACAATCTTGTATATGTTTATTATACTTTCATGTAACCATTTGATTTCTATTTCTATGAATTTTCATTTTCAATTTTTTGTTCTCTTGAATTAATCATCATTTTTCCTAAATTTTTAATTGATTATTGTGTTTCATTTTAGGTTTGCACAAAAGAGCCAAGCCATGGCATTAATTTTGTTGTAAGATAGTTACGAGATCATCGTGAATTCTAGCTTGTGAAATAATTTTGTTAGAACTATACTATTGGAATTTATTTAGAAATTATTTGGTTCTTAAACTTGCTGTAAAATCTTAAGTTAAAAGCGTACGAGGAAAGGCAAAAAAGGCGAAAAATGCTTGTAAATTTGAAAAAACTCTTTGGCTTAATTATTATTACGAAAAGGAAATAAAAACACTTTGGCAGAAGGAAAACAATCCATGCACCATACAGAGATCGTCTCCGTGCTGCGTGGAGAGTGCTCTCTGCATAGTGTGGAGAGCGCACCGTGCGTGGAGTCATTTGGCTTGTCCAAAATTTGTACCCTAAATTTCGATCTTGTCCCTCAAATCTCTATCTCATCTCTTATCCCTCAAATCTCTCTCGATAGAAAAGAGGCTAAAGAAAACTTCCTGCAAGTCGATGATTATGGTTGAGAAATTGAACAAGTGAGGAGCAGGGACTATTCAGTGCAGTGTAGTTGGGGGATTTTGAGAATGTTGAGACTGTTTTGGAAACGGATCCAACTTTTATTCATCGGTCCACAGTGTATGATCGCCTCTCAGCTTTGCACATTGCTGCTGCTAATGGTCAGATGGAGGTGGGCTTCTTGGTATTTCTCGAAATTTTGATGTTTTCTCATTTCTGGTTCTGAGTTGGGGATTTCAGATTCTTTCTATGCTCTGGGACCGATATGTCAATCCCGATTTATTGAATTGCCACAAGCAGGTGTGTTCATATTGATCTCTTCGAAATGACAGTAAATATTTGATTTAATTTCTTGATTTTTTAGACTTATTATCTGATATTATCATTTATATGTGAATGTTTTTTTTTCCCAATCCCTTAGCTTCTCTAATAAGCCATTTTCAAGTAATCTGTATTTATTTATATGCATTTACATGTATGTAGGTGTTCATTATTGACTGTGTTAATCGTGAATATTGGGCCAGATTTTAATTTTCGATTCACTAAATGAAGGACTTGCTTACACTACGCTGCTTATTATGGTGTGTAGGCGGCTGTTTCATGGTAGGTTTCTCAGGGATAGATTAACTTTATGCTGTTAAGAATTATGCCTTAGTCTCAATTAAGAGTGCAATATTGAGTAAAACGAAATTAGGAACACATGTGCATACACAGATTTATAACGCTTCACCCTTAACTTGAGCGTCACGTCCACCCGCCGCTTCAGGTTGAACTGTGAAGAAGAAAAGAGGATTATTATGGCGAATCATGCCTCTCAACGCCTAGAAAATCCTTTGTATAGTCTTGAACCTAGATATACATAAAGCTTAACATATTAGGCACATAACGCAATTTATTGTGTTCGGCATTTTCCCTCTCGAATTAGCTCTAGGTTCTCATTTTTGTGCATAGGATGCTGAGAACAATGCTTCTTTTCAACTATTATGAAATAGATGAAAGTCATCAGATTTTATATATGAAAACCACAAACATCAAGAATCTAAAACCACAACATACACTCCAGGCAAGTGGGCATGTATTGCAGCA